CGTTATCGCATGAGCCTCTAAAACATCCCATGCAAGCACTAGAGCACAAGGACTCTAATGGAGTCCTCTTGAGACCCAAGTGTTCTGGCCTCCCATTGTCTTCCTGAGGCCCTCACCTTGGTCGTTGGCTGTTTATTTTTGTTTTGTTTATGATTTGTGTATGGAGGATATGGACCATCACACTGCTGCCAAACGTGTGGGGAAGGAAAGTAGCTACTGTCAGTGGTTTCATGTTTAGTCAAGTTTTGGTGATAGTGAAATATAGATGCCATCAGTGTACTTGCAGCTGCCATCACACCCACACAACACAATCTGGGATCAAGCGCTGCACTTGCATCAAATAGGGAGGCAAAACAAATACTGAAGGAAAATATCTTAATGTCCATGTCACCGAAAATCAGGAATGATACTCCTTAACACTGGGTGTGTTAAAGAGCAGGCATTACTTTATTTGGTGTCGGGTGCGTGGGGTTCTGTCCACCTAGCATGCATCCTAAGCCAGAACAAGATACATTTTATATACAATAAAATAATTCCATATTCATAGTACACTGCATATTCATTGTTATTCATATTCAGGGTTGGTTACAAGTTTCTCACTTCTAATGTAAATTAGTATGCATCCTCAGGCAGCACTAATGAAGCCTTTTTATCAACTGCGCATGCTCCCCAAGTGGGGTTTTGCCCTCTTTCAGTGGGGCCATTTGAGTTGGAGGTCACCATCTCCCACTACTACAATTACCTTTGCCCAGCTTTCAGCCATTTAACTACTGCTGTCTGTGGGTTATGTTATAAATAATAATGTAGTTTTGCTTAAGCCATTGCAGATAGGCGGTGAGAAAGAATGTAAGTTTCCAAGAACTCAAGTATTGGGACGGAGACAGGGAAATGTGTATTTGGGTATAGGGTCAAGCTGCTTTAGCTGATACCACTTAGCTTGGTTGTCACCTTCCTGCCCCTATATAGAAGAAGGAGAAGATTACCTGTCAACTTGCGGTTTTGTTATGTAGCTGGACCATAGAGCGCAGGCGCAGGAATAAGGCGGTCAAGAGTTCAACCGAGAGGAAGACTTTGAGCCTTTACCCCACGACCCTCAAAGAAGACCCCAGACAACAGTGCACAGACACAAGTGGGAGGGCATAGATGTAAGTAACTTCGAGGAAATCATTTGAATATGTATAAGACTTCTGAGAAATGGCATGAATATGAATGACTGTCCTAAATAAGTATGTAGAAGTGAGACCAACCGGTGTGCATGCAGGAGGATCACGGCAGTGATGTCCCGTGCACCCAGCACTGAAATAAAAACTTTGCTTCACAGACTTTGTTCTCTTTTAAAAACTACATAGTTGAATGTTTCTCGCAGTTATAACATTTTATCAACTTGACTCCTTTTATGACTAGGATAACGGTGTCCTCTTCATCATCTGTTCTGTTAATACTTACCAACCTTGGGATGTCAAACTAAAGACTGTGCCTATTTCTCAGTTAATTTAGTTAAATTGTTTAAGTGCTTAGTGTCATATAAACTGTTGCGACTGCAATCTGACTAAAACCTTTTCTTTACATTTAAGCATTAATGACATTGACAGAAGCCCTCCATGCTGGGTTAAAACTGTTTTACTGAACAACAGCTGCTGTGAATCACTTTATTATTTGGTTGGGCTAAAGAGCTAAGAGGGTGGCAATGCATTGCTTTGATCTGCATGTGCAGGTTAAATTGAAACCCAACTTTGCTCCTGTGTTAAATAATAATGTAGTTTTGCTTAAGTCATAGCAGACAGGCGGTTGGAAAGCAAGTAAGTTTCCAGGTACCCAAGTATGGGGACGGAGACAGGGTAATGTGTATTCGGGTATAGGGTTAAGTTGCTTTGGCTGACACCGCTTATCTTAGCCATGATCAGCCTCTACCTGGATGGCACCTGCCTGCCCTTGTATGGAAGAAAGAGAGGATTAACTGTCAACTTGGGTTTGCAATGTAGCTGAAACAACAGAGCACAGGCGCCAGAATAAGAAGTTCAACCGAGAGGAAGACTTTGAGCCTTCACCCCACGACCCCCAAAGAAGACCCCTAGAAAACAGTGCGCAGACGCGAGAGGGTATAGATGTAAATAACATCGGGGAAATCATTTAAATATGTATAAGACTTCTGAGAAATGGCATGAATATGAATGACTGTCCTAAATAAATTTGTGGAAGTTAGACTAACCGGTGTGCATGCAGCAGGATCACGGAGGTGATCTGTGGTGCACCCAGCGCTGAAATAAACCTTTGCTTCACAGACTTTGTCCTCTCTTAAAAACTACATAGGTGAATGTTTCTCACCCTCGGAATTCTCCTCCGTTTGCCGGGCGGGGGGGGCGGTAGTGTAGCGCTTTGCTCGGCGGCGCTGCGCCCGGCCCCTATCGGTGTGTGCCGGACGGCGAGCCCCGCCCCCCTGTTTGCACACGGCCCCTTGCCCTATAAAAGCGGAGGAAGCGGGCAGCACAGGTAGTGTCTGGGCGCGCTAATGCTTGAGGAGGAGATGTGCTGTGTGGAGCGCTAGTCCTGGGCGTGAGGGTTGTGTGTGGTTCCTCACCTCTTGCAGAGGGTTCCCCAATTGCTGTTCTTGCTTTCTGCCTCTGTTTGTGGGTGGCCTGTCTACATTAAGGCTGTGGGTTGTCTTGTCTAGGGGTGATAGTGCTGGGAAGGGCCTCCTCTGTTTCTGCATTTCTCACAGAGGTGCAGAGTACAGCTAGATACTGAGATCAGGCAGGTTTGTGGAGGCTTGGCTGAGGGGGGGGCCTCAGTTCCCTGAGTGGTCCAGGGCCACCTTCCTACTTGGGAAAGGCTTTTTCCATGTTCTTAGGCATGGATGTGTATCATTTTTACAGATGGTGGGGAAGGCTTGTCTTGCAGCCTCAGCCTCATGGTGCTAAGGATTAAATTAATGTAATGAAAACATGGCTCGATAAAAAGAATAGCTGGAGAGGGCTCTCTTTCTCCAATATTCCTTTAAATTACAGAGGGAAACAACCCAGGCCTGCAGGTGTTTTCCAAAGGTGATGGCTCAACTTTAGCTGGAGGTGACTTAAATGTGGAGAGCCTCTTAGGGTCCTTTGAAAATCTGTTAGGCTGGGGGCCAGTTAGCTCTTCAGAGCATTGCTTTCAAAGGCTCATGTTTCATACAAATAGGCACACAGTGTTTTACTTAGGCATACTGCAACCTCAGGGGAGGCCTGTGCTGATGTGAAAATTGGGAATCTAATAGTGGTTATTATTGGATGAACTGTCCTGGTCTGTTTCCTTAAAATTATGAGATTTATTTGACCTGATAACAGATTAATTGTGCAAGAAGTGTTTGTAGGTTCAGGTACTGACTTGTTAAAGCTGAATAGCTGCAGTTTGGGCTTGCATGCACTTCTGAATGGTGGTCATATGTGTGTTAATGCAGGTGTTTTATTAATGGACAGAAGTGTGTCTGCAAGATGGCAACCACTCAGAAACAAAGGAATTGTGTGGTATGATTTTCTTGTGTATTTCAGCACAGTATATTATTTGAATCAGAAATCGGTGAATTTTAGCTGAAATAGGGCACCCAGGTGCTCTATAATATTTCTTCACTTGAAAATTACAGGCTAATTCAATCTTTTAACTAGGAATAAAGATGCTTAATAGCAAAATAGTTTGAGTCTGAACTTTGTGGTCATGCACTTTGTAGAAATCCAACTATATACTAGAAACATAGTAACACCAAGTGTTAGAAATATGCTTAACTTTATAAATGACAACAGTCATACTTTTCAATTAAAGTAAAATGTTAAGTAGGCATCAGACCAGACTGGAGACTATATAGGGTTGTTGTTGTTGTGGACAGAGATTAATTATTTTCTTTCTCTAACTTTCAGAGTGCAGTCGTATTTCCTAACAAAATATCTAATGAACAGCAATCCCTGATGCTGGTGAAGAGACTCCTGGCAGTAGCAGTATCCTGCATTACATATCTGAGAGGAATCTTTCCTGAAAGTGCCTATGGAACAAGATACATGGATGGTAAGAGGCTGTTTTCATTATTATTTGCAAAATCTCTTGTCATAGAGTTGTTAAGAAGCTTCTGAGTGGTTTTTAAAGCCACTTGATCTCAATTAAAGATAATAGCCATTTTCAATGGCTGTAATGGAAACTTCACTAATACATTACTTTTGTTAGATAGTGCTGATGCTAACTCAGCAATTAAAACTATGGTAACTGTTGGTAATGATCATTTTAGTCTGCTTTTGATACATACTTTTAGAGAATGAACTTCCACTTTCTTAGCAATGTAGCTGCATTTTTGTCCTAAGTAAATATGCATGTATGTATTCTTTTTTCTTGAGATGTCTGTGTCAAAATCCTGAGGGAAGACAAGAACTGTCCTGGCTCTACTCAGCTGGTGAAATGGTATGTTGATTACAGTGCATATGTAACACTTCCATAGCATGTCAATTCTGAAAGATACCTTTCTGGTTGTTTGCAGATACAAAGAAAAAAGTTCACTTGCTGTGGGTGAACAACTGCCTGGGCAGTGCTTTTAATGCATGGTATTTACTATGTTGACTTTTTTTTTAAATAGAAAGTCAAAAAGTGTCTGTTTTGGTAGAGATCTAATTGACTTGTACAGTTGTGTTTCTAGAAAGGCTTGCAACTTGGTGCTTAGTAGAGCACAAATTTTGTTTATAGAGTGATTATACTTTATGTTTAGTTTCCATTGGCATATATGAATGTTCAAGGGGGCACATAAATGCAAATATCTAACCAGTAGTTCCTCTCTAGTTGAACAGGCGATGCAGTGTTACCATTTTGCATCTTGAATTTAAAGATCTTTCTCTCAGACTTAAGAAAGTGGTACTGTTGACCTTTATATTCAAAGGCAGAATTGTGTCTGCAAATGATAGTATTTCTGCTTGTACGTTCACACAGTTGAGTGTATGTCACTTGAGACTAGAAGTATTTATTTTCTTTCTGTTCACAATAACTGCAAGATTTTTTCATGGCGGCTCTCCTTTCTGTTTAGAAAATAGTGTATCAGGCCATTGCTTTATGTATATGTTCCTATTTTTTGTTATGCTATAAAGGCCATCTTTGTTCTTTTCACGTAGTTGTAGTACAAGGTAAGGCATCAGAAATGATGCTGCATTCAGTAGAGGGGGTTTGCAGCTTCTGTCAGCGTTGAGGTGTTCAGAGATGTAGGTCTGAGTTCTGATGTTAAAGGCAAAATAAGTCATCTGCTCTTCGACCATGTGCTGTCGCTAGGGTGGTGGGAAAGGTGTCCTTTACTGTAACCTGGAATTTCTTAATTGTGTGGTAAACTGAAGTGACGCTGAGTGCGTTTCACCTTGCCCTCATGCATCGATTATTAGCAAGGGCAGTGGTGTGGCAGCCCTGACAAGGAAAAGCTCCCTGGTTTTTGTGAGGGGTATGTGCTACCTTTTTTGAGTTTACAGGTGAGTAGCCTTTCTTAACTGAGCATCACGTACACACCAAAACCAATTTTTGCTTGTTGACTATATTCAAAAGAGATATTAGGGAAAAAAAACCCACTAGGATAAGTTTTGATTCAGTATTTTACTGTTGTTTGCATGTTATATAAAAAACAAATTGCAACATCTAAATAAGGGCAATAACAACTCCTTTGTGCTTCAGATGAGATTGTTCTGCTGAAGTACATACTTACAAACTGATTAATGAATACATGTGTTAGGTGTTTGAAAGTGGTGGGTGTACAATTGCATTATGTTTTTACTGATAAATTATTTACTTACAGATTGTATTTTTACTTATTTTGTGAAGAGGTTAGAATTTGGTGTTAAAAGATAGTCGTTGCTTGTATCACTACTAATGAGAACATAGAATAATGGAATAAGTATTATTTATTGCTCTAATAATAAGAAGGCTAAACAAGAATTTGGGGGGGGACTATTTTATTAAGTCAGAAGCAAAGCAAATGGAAATTAGTCGTAGATGGACAATATTATTTGATTTTTGCAGGATGTTAGGATGCTATGATGCCTTGCAGAAGAAATATGTAAGTCTTCCAGTATTATTTAGCTATTTTAAATGTATTGAAATGTTCATTTATGTAAGTCCATTAGCTGCCAGCATAGTTACAGGACTTTCTGGTTAGGGAATAGCTGTGCTTTAATATGTTAAAATAGTTAGCTATAATGTGGGATGCACAGACATTTCAGGATAATATTCTTTGTAAACAGAAACACATGAAGTCAGGGATACCTAAGAATTTTCTTCTGCAGGTTGAGTAAGTCCTTTCTTAAACAGATAAGGAGTTAAGTGTATAAAGAGATTTCTCTTCAAACAGGCCTTAGTTGTCTATATTGGTTTCCATAGCTAGAGAAATGAAACAACTAAATGGGTTATGGAATACATCTAATATTCTTTTTCTTTCTCTAATTATGTTTCTGACAGCTAAGAATGATTGTCCTAGCAGTAAGTATCTTTGAAAAGGTACACATTTTTTAAGGTAGATGCTTAGAGATATGTCTAGTTCTTACTCTATTTCGTCTCTTTACTTCAAAAATACAGGTCTATACCCATCCAGAAGATCCTCAGGTAAATCTGCTGGTAAATTTTACTGGATGAATAATGATAGTATGGATATAGTGAAATGTGTATACAAGCAATAGTACTTACCATTCACATTAATGCACATTAAAAAAACACTTTTAAAATATCAGATGTAGAATTGCCACATAGTGAATTGCCTTTGACTATCTAGTGTGAGGTTATTCTCAGGCCAATACAAGAAACTCAGTGTCATTGCAGAGTTAAATGCCCATAATGATGTATTGTCCTAACTCTGTATAACAAATTCATGGAACTTGTGTGAAAAACACAGTATGTTTTAACTACCCACTAGATGTCACCATGTCTGTTATGTGTGTGAAACATTTTCATAGTAATTAAAATTTGAATGAATATTTCGTTCTGAAAACTTAAGCTGATGTTTCAAAATTTTATCATAATAATTCCTAGAAAATAATATAGATCATCGTTTTTTATTTGACAATTATATACAATAATACTGCTAGTTGTTACAGCATTAGAAAGCTATATTCAGGGCATGTAAGTGCATCAGACAGGAGTTGGGCTATCATTTTCTTTAAATGAAAGATTAATAGATTACTAGACGGAAGCTGCAGCAGTAGTAGTTTGGTTGACAGCTGCTAGTTTAATAATTACTGGATTTGTTTGCAGACAATTACAGAATGTTACCACTTCAAATTCAAGTACACCCACAACGGGCCACTCTTGGATTTCAGCAGGTACTGTTACTGACTTTATTCTGCTCTGTGATTTTACAGTCTGTTTGCATATACCTGAATGTGAAAACTTCGGGTTTTATCTGTTTGGTTAATTCTGGATCTTAAGACTAATGGTATCAACAGATACTATTAGCTTAGACTTATTCTTAAAATACAGTGAATCATTTTGTCAGATTATGCTCATATTTTCAAATACCCACTCAAAAGGTGATTCTTAGAGTCCAGTACTCTCTGACAAGGTTCTTTAAGATATTCTGTGTGTGGAGGGTGAAATGTTTAATATCAGATTTACTTATCTGAGGATACTTGATGTTACATGGGATTTCTCATTTCACAGAGATGATACAAAATACACTGAAAAAGCAATACAAATGTAAGCTATGCTTAGCCAAGCATAACTATTGCAATACACAGTTCAGTCACAATACCAAAGTGATTCCCATTACTGGTCTCTGTAATACGCTCACTGTCATGATGCTGGGCATCCCCCATCATGGGGAAGGAATATGTGGGTTGAAGCCAGCTCCAGCCCATTGTTCTCTTCAGAATTCTTTTGTTAGTTTTTATACCCTTTGGGCTGAACCACATATTCACTCCTCCCCATACTGGTCTGGCTAACTCAAGGATACATTCACACGCTTTTAATGAACTCATGGAGAAACATTTACACCACGAGTTGATCCATTCATCTAATGTAGCTATTTATCCAAAATGAAGGCTGTGCTCAGGTCCTCCGTGTGTTGAGATAAAGTCAGCTTTCTTTGCAATAGCTGTGGTCAGTGATGCCCTATGTAATTCCTTGAGCTTGTTGGTCACATCACCCTTGCCCATCTCCACTAAGCCACCTTCCACTTAGGGCTTTATTGGTCAATCACAGCTGCAAGGAAATGCCTTAAGACAAGTAACTGAAATGTAGCAAGTCTGTACCTAACAAACTTCTCCCAGCTTTCCTCCTGCATAAAATCCTTTTTTTTAAAAAAAGACTGCAGTGCTGCAGATCTAGATCCCTTGGGCTGAGTTTAGTTGCTTACCTGTGAAAGAGGTTATAAGTCACTTAAACAGTGGTGGAATGGGATGTGACTCTTGACCACACTGGGTTGCCTTAGTGTATTAGCATAAATTCATGCCAGACTAATTTGAAAATACAAGGCATGAACCTACTTCCCTGATACCCTGCAGGGAAGGAGATAACCATCTGCAGAGGGGAGAGATGTTTGAAACTCTTGCAATTAAGATTATGCTTCCAAAAGACAGGGTTACCCAATGAAATAACTCACAGTTGCTTGACTTGTGCTGGCTGTTTGGGTCTTCAGGTGTCTCTCTAAGCTGTGTGGCTGTGAGGAGCAGTGGAGTAGAGGGAGAGCATTTTTAGTGGCAGTAAGGTAGGGTTTGGGTCAGCTGCTGGTAGAACAGGACCATGAAAATGTCAGAGCTGGATGCCAAGAGTCACTTAGGCACGCATTCTCTTATCAGTTGTTTTATTTAAGGGAAAGCAAGTATGTAAGACTCTGCAGAACTGGGGCATTCAAAAGTATCTATTTTTTTTCTTTCAGATTGGGTGTTTTTTAAGCATTGTGTGATGTAAAATACAGTAGTTGGTCACAGCTGCTGTACCATAATGCTTTCCTGATGTACCTGGGCTCAGGATTTGATCTTCCAAGGAGCAGAGAAACATGCAGGTCACTTAGTACTAGGAATTGCAGTGCTTGCAATCTCAGACCTTAGGCAATAAATGTGCTGTCTGCTTCTGACATTCATAGTCTGTTAAGCAGTCAGGTATCTTAATACTAGCAACAGCTTGCTCTGTATATAAAAAAAAATCTGAATACTTTGTCCTTTTTTTAGTAAGAATACAAGGAATGATTCCACAATCACCTGTGCAGACACCAAGAAAGCAAGTATCCTCCTCATTCGCAAGATTTATGTTCTCATGCAAAACCTGAGTCCATTACCAAATGATGTTTGCCTGACTATGAAGCTGTTTTATTATGATGAAGGTAGTATTTCCATATTACCTTGATTTATCAGGTGTTTAGACATTGGGAAACAATTCAAAGAAACATTTTAACATATAATCTTTATGGTTGCTGGGACTTGTTAAATGATGTTGTTTTGCATGTGTCTGTTTCTCACTACGATTTCTCAAATCCAAGGGGACTGGCTTTGAGCTCACTGTAGAAACACAATCTTGTCACTGACTCCATTGGAGCAAAGATTTCAGTGTTTTAAAAACAAATTGAGTTTTCCTGAGTATGTTAGGATGTAACATGTTTGCCAAACTAGTTCTAGTGTGGATGACTATTTAAATGTCTAGCTCTGTTTTCAGAATGTATTATTTCTTTATAATGAAAAAGCAGAGCTTCTAGCTCATCTGTTTGCATGGATAAAGTGTTTCAAATAGCTTTAATTGGATCTTGCCTGTTGTGTGTGGGGGGGAAACTTCATTTAGTACAAGTTGAATATTGATTATTCCTCTCCACACAATTTTTTTGGAGTAGCCCTTCGTATTTAAAGGGAGAAAGAGTCTTTTCACTGCAAAAGTTAAAAGTAATTTTACAAGACCATGTTTCATTCTAACACATTCAATTAATTCTTTTCTGCAGTTACACCATCTGATTACCAGCCTCCTGGCTTTAAGGAGGGTGAATGTGAGGGGATGATATTTGAAGGGGAGCCTATGTATCTAAATGTGGGTGAAGTGCCAACGCCTTTTCATATGCTGAAAGTTAAAGTTACAACTGAAAAACAACGAATGGAAAATGTTGATAAAAGCATCCTAAAGCATGGAGAAGCTAATGTGCCTCTTCAGGTGCTCAAAGTGGACAGGGATGATCCAGAAGAAAACAGGGACATAAATGTAAGAGCGCAAATGTTTTTTGTAGCTGGTTGAAATTTTTTGTGATTTATAATCTAGAAATGGGCCATTAATTGTTTCACTGCATGTCTTACTATAATGTTAATAAACTCTGTTTCCAGATATATTTAAGCGAGGCAACATGTCATCAATACACTTTGCTTTAATTTTACTGCTCCAGTTAGCAATCTGTTGTTGTTAAAGCAGTATTGAACAAGTCATCAATACATCATACACTGAACATCAGCATAATGCCTGTCAGCAGCAGCATTGTTGGTAGTCATGTCTGACTGGAGAAGAGCAGCAGGGTGAGAAGCAGAGAGGCAGTTTTGTGCTGTGGGTACAGGTGCCATTTGTTAGCTTCACGCACAGGACACAGGTGAAACCCCTGGAGCTGTGCTGTACCAGTCCTGAGCAAACTGCTGCAGCCAGACAGTATTGACTAGCAATAAATTTGCTCTGGGATTCTCTGGTACAGCAGTATACATACAGCTAGTGATGCCACAGTTAAAGTTAAACTTGATTCTGTATTGGGATTCCTTTGCTGGGGAAATATGCCTAGAAAAAAGCACAAAGCAAAGCTTGCTGAAGGCATGAGTTGCATGACAGAGTTGTGCATCCTGCTGATGGTGCTAGAATGCCCGAGATGGCTCTTGGGTCTGTGCTTGTGCAGACTTCAGCAATTGCAGGCATGTATTTCTGGGGTCAGTTAAGGCAGGCAGTAAATACCTTTAGTTATGTTAGACTGTGCAAATATGTGTGCTGATCTATACTGTCCATAGGTTGGAAGGAGGTGGGGCTTCAGGGCTTTTGGCCCCTCTCCCTCAATTAGGACTGCTAGGGAGGCCTGTAGATGATGAGATGGAAATAAACTGTTTGGCCCTCTAGAACTGTGCATTCCTCTGAATTGCTGTTTCACAAGCAGTAAGAAAGTGGTAATTGATGCACTGATAGTATTCCTTCAGTATCTATTGTTACAATTTCAGTATTTCTTACAGAGGTTTTTCTTGGTAGTTGACTTAAATGTGTGCTTGCATTAATTAAGTAATGCTGAGCTAGTCTGTATGTTCCATGTCAGATTCAGTTATTTCAATGCAGTTTGTTCCACTGAGAATCCATTAGCTCTGGCTCTAAGCATCTGAATACAAGCCCTCTTCCTTGTTATTCTGCAGTAAGTGATAGACGTTTTTCTTAATCTAGGAAGATCCTGTCTTGGATAATAAAGTGGAAGATAAGAATAGTGTAAATATTTCAGAAGCTCAAGGTAACATTTATGTATATTTTTCAAGCCTTTAGGTTGTGCCTCTTTCTTGATGTTACTAAAATGAAAACTCAATTTTCTGACGTAGACCACTATATTCAAATTTACATTCTGTTTTCTTTGCGTATATTACTATGCCTTTATTTTCTGTCATGACTTTGTTCTGTGAAGCACTTAGCAAATGCATGTTTTCATGTTTCTGTTCTAAAATTCTTGTCTTCTGTTCCATTTTATCAGATGTTAAATTTAATGGGTGATATTTAGAAGTAAATATTGTTTGATTGTTCTATTGTTGTTACTATGCTTTTAGTAATATATTTAATTTCCACATAAAGCTTGCCGAAGTATCGTACTCTTGAGTTCATTATTACAGACTTGGGAAGAACTCTCTGTGCAAAAAAATGGTCCAGGCCTGTTTTTTCTTTAAATCACAGCTGTTTGGCCTGTATCCTCACAGCTTCAGCCACTAGATAAGTTTAGCAGAAATAGCACTTTTAGCCATCTTTTTTCCTTAAGCTCTGACTACAGTAGGATCACGGTCTGATTCTGCAATCCATACCAGCTTCAGTCTGTGTGATTTTGGAGGAATCAAGACCATCAGGGACTGTATACACGGAAAGTGTTTTTACATTGTGGTAGACTGAATGATCCCTGTGTAAAAATACCTATCTGTATGATGCATGTTCTTCTTGCAAAGGAAGTTGTTCCTTACTGTGGTTTGCTATTCCAGATACAATCATAACTTCATCTAAAAATACGTTTTGTTTTATGAAGGATTGTATGATTCTATATGTGCTGGTGGCTATCTGAGTGCCTTTTCTAGCTGCTTGCTTTCACAAGTTACTCTGGACCTGTGTGCCCTTTTCTCTCACTGTGTACATGGAGCATTTTGATAATTGATAGTTTTAATAGGTTCAAGTTCTAGCCAAGCATTTTCATTAGTAGGAATCTTGGCAAACTAAGTTTCCTCATATAAAATCCTAACACCATAAAATCTGTCAATATAAAACTACACAAACAATATGAGTAACAATAAAAAGCCTATAAGGCAGCACTTCTCAAGAAGGTACCAAAAGCATTTACTTCGGTTTTACTTAAAGTTTCATCTAACAATCTCAAGCAGTTGAACTGAGAGTTCTGCAGAGAGTATAAATGCAGTCATGTTTTGGAAGCACTCTGAGGACTCAACACTGCAAGGCAAAGTTGCCTTCTCTCTGGTTATCAAATAAACAATTATGCCCTGTCTGCTATGCAGGACATTAGGAAGCACTTGCTTATCCTTTCTGATGAAAAACCGCAGCACCTGTCTTGTTGGATTTTTTTTTTAGCCTTTATAAATAGATATTACTGTGCTGTTTCCTTACAATCATATAAATGTCCTCCACTGTAAGCTCTGAATGCAGAAGTGCCAACAAAATAACCATGCTGGCTACACCAGCCTGATGGTAGCTGCTACCAGAAACATGCTCTGGTAGCACTCCACTGGTTTTTGTTGGTGGTTGTTTTTTTAATTAGTGCTGCCAAGATGTGGACCCAGATTGTTGCCAATTCAAAACATGAGATGGCAAACTCTCAGGGTTCTCTGTGAGCAGAAGCTTCACTTTAAGATTTTGGAGAAACTAGGAGGAAAAGTAGAAGATGATTTATCTTCAGATGCCCCAAGATAGCCTAGGGGCCCAAAGACTGAACTTTGCTACCAAACGATCTGAAGAATGAATTGTGCCTTGTTGTTCTGCTTATCTTGGAGAGGCTGTATAGGAAGCATCCAGACAATACTGGTGCCCATTTGCTGTACATAAAGCATTTCAAACATAGCAAATATCAGAAGAGGAAATAAGTGCCATTTTTGGAAGAAGATTAAGTAGAGATGATATAGACAGGTATGATCAGAAATGCTCTGATATGCTGATGTAAAACAGGATAGCTAAAGGAACACAGTTCTCAAGACTGTGAAATAGAAAACAAAGCTTTTATGATGAAAATCAGGGGCAGGGGGGGTGACACAGGACAGGACCCTTATTTGGATGAGAAGCCTATGTAAAATGCTTTTTTTTTTTCCTCTGTAGCAGAGGTGGAGGCTTCTGTGGAGATAATGAATACACAGCACTCCTAGAAGAAATGTCTGTTAGTGCTGCTCCTTGCTCTGTTCTCTCGCTTCTTAATGCATTTCCCTAAAGTTGCATCTACTTTGAAATGTAACTCTGGTTCTGCAGAGTTTCTGGATCGGAAACACCAATTTTCCATAAAAACTTCCAGACATGTTGCTTTCAACACAACTGTAAAAGTGGCTGCTCTGTCAGAGCTGAGGCTTTTGGTCCTCCCAACCTGAACAAGACTAGCAGCTCGTTGGGGCTAGCATGGTGTCTGAGTGCTTCCGGAGGCAGTTGGACAAAGCAAGTTGAGCCTGGATTTTATTTTTTTTTTTTAAAATGACTTGGAGTGTCCCATCATTCAAGCCCAACACTGAACAGGCTGTGCTATGTATTTCAATAGTGGCATTAATGTGTTTTTTAGAAATAAAATGTGCAACTTAGCAAAAACAGCTAACATTTCCATGCTGTTCAGAAATAATCATGGAAATGTGTAGGAAATGGTACATGTAGATCAGCATTTTTATCTTGACAATGCTCGTAGGCTGCAGAACTGGAATAACCACATAAAGGTGTATCTTGTGCTCTTAGAAATCCATAGATATTCCAAAACCGTGCAAAAATGCAGCTAATTGCTTGTCTTAGGGAGTTGTTATAATGTTTTATTTACAAGAACTACAAGACACAGGAAAATGCGTTTGTCACCCTGAAATTCTTCTGTCATTTCCACAGCTGATCAGTCATCTTTAACCAGTTCATGCTTATATCTGTATCCTAGGAAAAAAACACAGCATGGGTTAGAAACAACAACAACAAAATCTCCAGAACTGACTGTTCATTCTTTGTGGCCTGTTCATGCAGCTGCAGGCAGTGATAAGGGGAACTGTTGCTGCAGGATCTGCAGCCAAAGTTGCTTGGTTGTGTGTGGTTGGGTTACAAAATGGGAGCCATCTGCTGGCAGTGGGTTGAGAATATGCAGAAGCTGTGCTGGAATGGCCTCACAGGGCTGTTTGCCCATTCTGCAGTGCAAAAGGGGCTCCTGAGGCTTTTTACTTGGAAGCAAATCTGAACATAGATGAGCCTTTAGCAGTACAGCATATAAACAAGTTTGGGGATCAAGCCCACTCTTCCAAAGATTCTGTGTATAAATAAATCTGTACTACTTAGCATAAGCATCTCTTGTGTGCCTGTGATAGGAAGTTGTGATAGGAAATTGCTGAATTAAAGATGTAAGAGCATGTAATGCTTGGTGAAGTTAATGACTTGCTTGCACATAGAGAATTAGAGCCCTTCTGAAGCACCTGTTCCCTGCATTTATAAAGTGCACGTGCTCCTTGTGGCAAAACACCAGTGTTAAGAGGCTGCTAGTGTGTTGTCAGCAGTGTGCTTTATTATTTAACTCTTTTGTAGAACCAAATTTAACTTGTGAAGAAGATGAAGTTATGAAGACTGGAGGGAACCAGAACCCGTGTGTTTCTAATCCTCAGGTATGAAAACTGCACTCTGTCGTCTTAAACTTTTATTAGAGCTTTTGTGACGTGTCTTTCCTACTTTGAGGGATCGATAGGTAATATGCTAAAGGTTTATTTACCACAGTCAGAATTTCAGCAATAAAATGCCTTTACATTTTATTTTCAGACGTTCTACAAAATCGGTTAATATTCTGAAGCAATCAAAAGCAATAACAAGAAACTGTGCCTTGGTGATAGAAACAGATGGTCTGACTGTTATTAAGAGAAATGGGAAATGTAATTTTTGTGTTTATGAACTGCCTTAACTAAACACTCTGCCTAATAGAAATTTCTCCGCTTAAAACTCAGGCTATATTCCCTGCATATAGCAAAATGGTATAATTTAAATGTGGAGGACTACTTTGAACAGGTCCTTTACGATTTCTTAAAACAGAATAGCCCTAAGTAACTGTGAGTTACTGTATTAAAAAAAATGATGCTTTGATCTGTCAGAGCTCTGACACATTCAGCTGTAAATAATGCTATTGACTTCAATGGGTATACTTCTGTATTTAAATTTCAGCTCAGGCACTGTGGTGAGCAGCGCCAGAGTTCTTTGCATGCTACAGCATTGAAACCTGCTGTAGCCTCTAATGTTGTTTTTTTTTTACTGCTGTCACAAAGCAACGTCTATTTTTCTGATTTTAGGTCGATCATTTGGCAAGTAAGACATCTGAACTTAATGTGTCAGAGAGCAGGACAAGAAGTGGAAAGATATTTCAAACCAGCACTGTTAGTATAATTTTTTTCTCTAGTTCTGTTCTATTTCTGTTCTTCTTTAAGCCTTTTTCTGTTCCAAACAGTGAATAAAACTCTTAAGCTTTAATACATTTCATATGGACGGAATGAAATTCTGATCGCTTCTAGAATTCCCATTAAATTCAACACATTTGGATTCTTAGTGTCAAGAGAAATTCTGTTCCAAAGAATTAAAATCTGAGTCTTGATGCCATTAACACAGCTTGAGAAAGATTCATTAGGATTGATTTATATCTTCTTGAGAATGCATTTAGCCAGATTCGATGCTGGTTTAATCCATTATTGATAGGAGTGTGTGCCAGCAGAGATCCCCATCCCAGTGCTTGCTAGTGATTTTACTTGGAAAACATGAGACCGAAATTCTAACCTCAGCTCTGACTCATTCATACCAAGAAAAATCCATTATTTCTTTGCTTAATCACATTGGAGCAGATAAGTCTTGTAGTCAGTGCTACTCATGGGGAGCCAAATTCCTCCAGCCTTGCACATGTAGAGCAGAAATTGTCTTCAGGGTGGAATTTGGCTTCTGGGGGTGGCATTGGGGGCCCCCATCTGTCTTGCTGCTGCCTTTACCAGCTGAGCTTGGTAGCTTCAGCTTTGTGAGGCTCTGGGGGGGGCCTTAACAAGACCTCAACATCTCTCTTACTTGTCAATGTTCAGGGTTACTGGTGGGTTCTTCTCAGAAAGAGCTGTGGGGTAAATACGACCATTCTAGTAAGTAAGTAACTGCTATTCATGTACAGTCAAGAGGGGAAGCTATGTGTCAGGGCCAAGGACAATTGTACCCTTCCTGTCCCTGCTCAGGGAAGCTCTTCATTAATTTTTAGTGCAGTAGTGTAAGGATTCATAATGTGCAGCTCAACCGTTGCCAGTAGTTTTCTCTTAAACTAATAATTGCCTTATGTCTGTAAAGGCTGATGGAAATCAAGCTTGGGAGCATGCAAAATTCATTCCTCAGCAGAATGGTCTAAAGAAATCCAGAAGAGAAATTGGTCTGTGTCTTAAAAATATCTGTGTATGAAAGTTGCATGCAAAAAGGGCTATCGGAGTTTGCAACAAATTCACGGAGCGGAGATGTTAAATTCAGAATATAGAACTAGCAGATTTAGTCTTTTTGTGAAGTACTGCTTCACAGTGGTGAAGTGTGGTGCTGAGCACCCTCTCCCATTGGTATGGGGTGCTCTGCTGTTGTGCAAAGCCCTCATGGTGCCACCTGACTCTGCAGTGCCTGCAGTTGAGGCCACTGTGTTGGCTCCCAGCTGCTCCTGGAATTGGAGTTCAGGTGTGTTCCCTCTGTGGAGGGAGAACAGCCTTCATTCTCTTCAAGCTGTGACACTCAGGAGGTCCTGCTGTTACAGCATAAATACATCCCAGCTCTCCTTCAATAATTTGAAGAGAGGATCAGTTCTGCCAGGAAATAGTATCCAGATGTTACTCCAGGCTTAACACCTCTGGGCAGGGAGCAGGTAATAGCAAGGTCAAGCCAGATCCTTGATACACAGGCTCTTGATGCATCACACAGCTGCCTTGTGCAGAGTGGGCTTTTCCCATGTTAAACTTGCTAATGCCATGGACCAGGCCACAATCTGTGCTGTGTGGCAACCTGTAATGCAATATTTATTTTCCCTTGGCAGGTTCATCAGTTTGAACTCTCATCTAGTCAAGATGTGCTGCCAAAAAGGAGAAAGATCAGTGAACCAAAGGAGCAGTTTTAGATACCTATCTCCCTGCTGTTTGTTTACAGAGTTCTTCTCCACACCACTTCCATTTTGTTGTTTAATGTGAATGTTTATATTTAAATATATTTTAGGGATCTTTTCTGTTCTCTTTGTAGTCAAAATGAACAGTATTTTAAGAAAAGAAAATGTGTCAAGAAGCCCACCTGAAAAAATCGGAACTTATTTTTTATAGGAGGTCCTACCCCATCAGGAAAGACAGAAGGTAGCTGACTACTGATATAACTGAGAATTTCTGTAACAAGGTGATTTGACTCCCTGCTTATGACATGTTTAAATCCTGATGGTGATTATGTGATGTTGATCACCCACAACACGAGGTTTCACCGGTAACTTTGGGCTGCATTTCAAAGCTGAGGAACTCCTTGTCCAGAACCTGCCTTATGGGGCACAAAACCCCTCAAGTCTTGGGTTAATTTCCAGAGTTTATGGAGCAGGTTCAGGAGGGCTGTGTTGTCAGTTATAGCAATATTACATTTTTTTGCTTTAGTACCAGGACAGTTAGGGGGGCTTGGTTCTTTGCATTTCTTCCAGACTCAAGTGAAAAACAGGCATTCTTCATACCTTCAATTACATGTTTCATGCCAAAATGCAAGAATTTCTGTACAGCTGTGATGAGATGTATGTAATTACAAATGAAGTATTAATCTGTGGCAGGCATCTATTATAATGTTGTGAGGTTATTTGAAGAAACTTATATATACTTATTAGTTGCAGAAGTTGGACATGGTGCAATTTCTTTTTCTAATAACAAAATGTTAATTCTTTCTATGCTGTGAATGAGTTGGAGTGAAGCTGTTTCTGCATGGCGAAGAGCTGCCACCGTTGTTAGGTCAGGATAGCTGAACATCTCTTGACATCTTTGACTTTTAAATTAGGAACGTCTTTTTATCATTCACCATTTAAAAACAATGCTAACATTTGGTGGCTGTGTATTTCTTTACCGCGTGGATTAGCGTACCTTTGGGGGCTTTAATGAAATGCGGGTAATAACCTGGGAGCTTTAGCTCGGTATGCTGTGGCTGCTCGGTCTTGTTCCAGCTCTCCGTTCGCTGGGCTGACCCGCCGTGGGAGGGGGGCAGGCAGCAGGGCAGAGGAAGGCGAGAGCAAATTTGGCCAAAAAAAAAAAAAAA